TTTTCGGCTCTCTCGTTAAGTACCGAAAGAACTGAGTTACAGTTAAAGGTACGCGAAATTACATTAGAGAAATTAATGCAACGTTTAAACGACAATTGATAGTCCGGACGAAATAAACGTCGCTCAGAGAGTCGAAAATTTGTCTCTTCAAATTTTAAGCTGATACGAGTTATCCCTACTATTTCGCGGAACTGATTACTACATGCAGTTTCCGGTGTTTTCTTTGTCTGCTTCAGCGATAACGCAATTACGCAAATAAATTGCCAAAATAAGAAAAACGAAGTTTTCACATTTTTTATTTCATTGTTATAAAACGATTTAATTGGATTTTTGAGAATCTTACGATCAAATTGATATTGGACGACAGCTGAGCTCTCGAAATGCGCAACGTTCGGTCAACTGCACAGAAGACGATGCCTAAGTCCGACACTGCTCTTTGAAGTTACAATGAATGTTGATACTAAATCCGTCGTTTAGAGATACCTTTGGCTTCTTATGCCACTAAGCTAAACAACTTCCGTTATTTGCTGACTAGTCCAAATGGATCCAGACACTGCTTAAATTCTATTTCTTTTGACTTTACTTGTCTAGATATAAAATTTGTAAAGTATCTCGTTGTATCTCGAGAATTGCTTCTCTTGTTTCTTATTCTTACATTCATCGTATTCACAAAACAACGATCCAAAGACAAGTGCTAGCGGTCAGTTTGTGAAAAGTGCTCGTTAACCAATCTTAAATTACAATGAAACGAAATTGTTCAATACCTTAAAATTGAAAATTACCGAACTAAGTAGGAAAAAGGCCACAATGTTTGTAGAAAAACTGAATAATTGTATTATAATTCACCAATATCTGTGGCAGACTAGCGCGATTTTCAATTTAACAAAATTACATCGCAATTATATTTTAGGTATGCATGAACCAAAATACTAATCATAAAAAGAAATTTGCTATATGTAGGCGAAAAACCGTGTTACGTCGCGTGAGATAAACCGTACGCCATCATCTCGTTGTCAAACTTCGGCGCCTTTACACGAGATGTCTGAGGGAGGGAGTTTACCCACGGGCGTGGCGGACGGCGAGGCTGGTCTTGCTCCGTAAAGAGGGCCGAACGGCGACATTGCATACCGGCCGATTTTTTAATTTTGGGCGATTTGTAGGAGAAAGAAATTATCAGACCAAGCAATTCACCATACGCAATCCCTTGTTGTATTAGTGCGGAGAAAGAATAGAAAATGCATCTCTGCGTCATCTACGGGGAATTAAATAAGATCACCGTGAAAGACAATTTTCCGGCGCCTTTTGTCAACGACTGCTTGGATCAGTTGCGCAGTAAAAAGTGTTTCACTAAACTTCATTTAAAGAATGGTTTTCATCACGTGAGGGTTTCAAAATCACCTATTAAATATACATCTTTTGTACAGTTCGCATACCTGAAAATGCCTTTAGAGCTTACTAACGCGCCCCGCGTGTTTTTCAATAATATATTAATTTTGTATTTACCAATCTCGGTAAAAAGAATAAAGTCGTATTATATTTAGATGATATTTTAGTCGCTACAGAAACGATTGAAGAACATATTTTGCATTTTTGAATGTTTCAAGAAATTTTTCATTTGCTGTATAAAACGATTTACAATTCCATTTAGAAGGATTTTCTTTTTTATACCGCGAAGTTACATATCTTGGCTACCTAATTTTAATGAATCTAGTATTCGTTCCAGTCGAGACGGCATTGAATCTGTCCGAGACTATCCAATGCCACGAACGGCGAAAGACGTACTACATTTTGTAAACCCCGCAAGGTATTTTAGGCATTTTGTTCCAAATTTTTTTATTTCAGAGAAATCCCTATATGAATTATTGAGAAACGGTGTGAATTTCCAGTTTGACGCAAAAGAAAATACGGCCTTTACGTGTTTAAAAAGGTAAATTAGCTGATGAACCGGTTTTGGTTATCTATTCCCCCGATTTTGCATGCATTGTGATGCCATCGCAAATGATTTTGGCGCGGTATTAATTAAAAAACAAACGGACGGTTTCTTTCGATCTATATTTTATTTTAGTAAACGAACCACTATCGTAGAGTCAAAATATTGCAGCTTCGAGCTGGAACGTTTAGCCGTTGTTCATGCCATCAAGTGGTTCCATATTTATATTTATGGGATTCATTTTAAGATCGTTACCCATTGCGATAGTTTGCGGCTCACGTTAAACAAACAAATAGTTAACCCACGCATTGCGCGATGGGTGATCTTACAAAATTGGATGTGAAAATGTCACATGTTGACGCATTAAGCCATTGCTGCAGTGTCCTTATCTTAGAACCAAACTCAAACAAATTGTTAAATCAGAAAATCCAATAGACAACTTTCGTTAAATACCTGGAGTTACATCTGGATCATAAGTTGAACTGGAACACATACAAGAAAAAACTAAACACGTACATCTAATCAGAAAATCCATGTAGTTCGTAGCAGGAAAATCTAAATCAGACATATGCAGTCTGGTCTTATGAACTACAAAAATGGGGTTTGGTTGCCAAATCAAATATGAAGAAAACAGAAACCTTCACCTCGACTACACTAACATCAATACTAAGTGCACACAAGATTCTCCAAAGCATATCACAACAAAATGGACAATTACATAAACTCGTTGCCAAAAACTTGGGCTTTCGGTTCGGTTCGGGGTGAGGGTAATACACGGACGGAGAGCTCTGTGGAAAAAGTGAAGTGTGAAGGAAAACAGGAAAAGGAAGCATAAAGAAGCATGAAGAAGGGAAAATAAAGAGTGAGCATACGAGGAGAAAGCAAAAGAAAAGCGAAAAAGGAGACAAGAACGAGAGAGAGCTACAAATAAGAAAAACTAAAAAAGAAGAGGTTAGGGGGTCAGAAGTGCAGCAAAACAAAGTAAGGTAGGGAAACAGCAGATGGCGACAAACAGGGGAAGACCAAGGAGCACTGTTAAAGCAGTCTTCAAAAATACATTGGGTTTAAAAATACACTGGACAAATACAGCTCGACAGAAAAAGAGATACCAGCCAGAGAGAAAGGAATGGAGGCAGTGGTGGAAAAAATAGAGAAAATGGAAAGAGGATTCGAGGCAATGATCAAGGAAATAAAAGATATATTCGAAAAGCAAGTGGAGGCGCTGAAGAGAGAAATGAAAGAGGAAAGGGAAAGAAGAGAAAGAGGGACAGACAGAGAGAAAAGAGAGTGGGAAAGGGAAAAGAAAGAATTATTGGGTAGAATCAGAAGAATTGGAGAGGATCAGGACAGGGCAGAGAGGGAAAAGAAGAAGAAACACAGGACAGGGCAGAGAGGGAAAAGA